CCCTAAGGGTCCATGTTCTCATAGAGTATATACAGTGGCCCCAAAAGTACCTATATAGGGATTACTTTGAGGCCAAAGTATATACTATTTGGGTACATGGACCCTTAGGGTGTTCGTGCTTTTTGTAGTATCATGAAAGTGTTGAAGTCCCTGAGGCTCTTCCGGGATTCTTCCGACCTCCTCCCCGAACTTCCTACTTGGAAGATCATGGGACTTAGTAACCCAGAGGGTCCGAGTACCCAAATAGTAAGGTTTTCCCAAAAACCATTCAGAGTATGGATTTGGGGACCTAAAACCTTACTATTTGGGTACTCGGACCCTCTGGGTAACTAAGGATATAAGTACCCTAATTGGGATTATAAATAATGAGTTATAGGTATGGTTACCTTATTTATAACCGCAGTTACTAAGTCCCATGAACCTTTAAGTAGAGAGTTGCCGCCCCGCAACGCAGCTAACCCACAAACTCCCCATCCCCGCAGCAAGGTTTAGGGTTTAGGGCTTAGGGTTTAGGGTTTTAGGTTTTAGGTTTTAGGTTTTAGGTTTTAGGGTTTTAGTTTTTAGGTTTTAGGGTTTTAGGGCTTAGGGCCTAGGATACCTTATAACTTCAAAAGCATGCCTTGCATAAGGAAGTACTGGGGCTTCATGAAGATCTAAAAGGTTTACAGAATGTAGAGGCCTTGAGAATTATAATAGGGTTTGCGGTTTGGGGGGGTATACTATACTGTAAGTTTAACAGAAGCCACCCCCCAAAGAAATAGCATTGGTAATTATTTAGGCCCTACATTATGATAAAGGGGAGATATGTACCTTCAGCAGGGGACCTTGGGAGCCCGAAACCCTTAACCCTCGGGTTTAGGGTTCAGGGTTTGGGGTTTAGGGTTTAGGGTTTAGGGTTTGGGGTTTAGGGTTTAGGGTTTGGGGAGCCCTAAATCCTAAACCCTAAAGTAGGGGACCTTGGGAGTCTCCAGAAGGAATCGCGTATCGTCGTGTTTTGAATGCTCACGAGTCGTCTGTCGCGCGCAAGATGCGAACGCCGGCTGGGGTCGAAGAAAATTGTATGCTTAAAGGACTTAGGGATTAATGGTGTTAGAATTAAGGTTGGGGGGGTTAGGCATAAACTAAGGTCTTGACCGTCTGAGACTATAGGATTCAGGGTTCAGGGTTTCATGATTTCATGTACAGGTTACCTGGAGTGTCCGTTGCAATTTGTCATTGCTTGCCTTCCTTTTTAGTTCCGATTCGAACCGTCCTAACCAGTCGAGGGATATCATGCTCTTGGTGGCTCCAAGCACAATTTCTAATGGGCTTTATGTGACTTTGTCAAGGTGTCAATGTACATGGTGTACATACCATTATAATGTAGTTTAGTACTACGACGACGCCTACTACGACTGCTACTACGACGACGACGACTACTACGAGTACTAGTACTAGTACTAGTACTAGTACTACTACTACTACTGGTACT